GATAGATAGATAGATAGATAGATAGATAGATAGATAGATAGATAGATAGATAGATAGATAATAGATAAGCAGATAAAAGTGCTCCAGACTTAACAGGCATTAGTATAGTTTGACTTCAAGGAGTAGTTTGAAGTAGTAAAGTGATCTGACGAGAACATCCTCAACGTAGTTTTAAAAAAAGATGAGTAAAAGAATGACTTTCCAGGAAGGTCAGTGTCATCTAGTCGTTAAGGCACCAGGCTAGAAAACAGGAGAATCTGCATTGAAGTCCCACCTTAGCCATGAAAGCCAGCCAGATGACTTTGAATCACTCACTTTCTCTCAGCCCAAATCACCTCACAAGGTGGTGGTGGTTGTGGGGAAAATTGGGAGGTGGGGGGCAGAAGGAGTATTAAGTAATAAATAACAATATTTTTATTATGGTCATAGACTAGCATTATAAATGATCTTCGTCCATCATTTTTGAAGAGACCTTGACATCTAACGGGTTGTGGGTTGTCCACGGTGTGTCTGCAGGTGTGTCCGCAGCATTACAAATATGAAGCATTAAAAAATAAAAAGGCAGGATAGTATATGACAATTAGTGGGCAGTCAAAGTCTGCCTAATTTTGCTGGCTGTATATCAAAATTCAGCAACGTTTTAAAAACACCTACATCAGACTCTTCCAATAACAGCAATTGTACCTGTGAGATTGGCTTTCCCAGCTGTTGTATCAGGTGAGGTGTTATGAAATGAATCCCTGAGTCCTTATAGAAGATTCAGTATACCAGGGCATAAGCTATAGTTTCAGCAGCTCCTTGTCCACAGGGACAGCCTCGGCTCCTATGGACTTTTTAAATATCCTTCCTCCAAGGCTGCTGTGGGAAATGCATTGCAGCCAGCTAAAAAGTCACTGCCCTTCAGAGTTCGGGGGAGTATTAGGTATGTTCGTCACTTTGTGTGTTATTTATAAAAAATAATAAAGGTGGGATTTACAAAAAAAAATCTTTTCAAAAGTCTGTAGGTGTTTCCCTCTTGGCATTTTGGTGGTTGGCCCTTCTAAAGTGTGCTGAATCTTCTATCTTTGGCTAAAGAGTTTTAAGGCCTGTTTTGAAGGTTTGTTCCCTGTAATGAATTTGTGGATCCATCATCCAAGCAATGTATATAGTAGGTTTTAAAGGAGGCAAAATGTATTCTCTTTATTGTAATTTGCAATGGTGCGTTTTATGGAATGGCTAATTTAATTATTAAAAATATTAAATCTAAAAAAAAAAAAAGTCTGTTAACTGTTAATTCACCCGAAGGATTTCTGTTTCTTCGGACGAAGCGCTTGTGCCGCTGAAAGTCCAGAATGACGCGCAAAAAAAATAAAAATAAAAATAAAAAATTCATGGCAGACTTTGGGAAGCACCGCACCGGTGGAACGTCTGCCTCGTAGCTGCTTCGGCTGAAGGGAAAGCGCTAGGAGCACGGAGGACGTTTCCTCCCGAACCCCGCAAGCTCGTGACAGAGACGGCAGCCCGAAGAAGAACTCCGCTTTCCTCCCTTCCCCGCCCTGGTCCAGGGCCCAAAGGGTGGGCGGCGTTTGC